TATGATTCAAGAATATACACAGATCAGAGAAGGAAAAACATTTTGAAAGTATTCTTCAAACAATGTCTTCTCTTGGTTACTTTCAAGTTCTTGTTCTTCTTTATGCTCTGCTTATTTTCTCAGTCGAATCTCAAAAAACTCAACTCCAAAACACTATCAATGATGTTGAATCTAGCGATGATGGTGTACAAGGCAAACGATGGGCTGTTCTAATTGCTGGATCAAATGAATATTATAACTACAGGCATCAGGTTTTTAAATTGTTTATATTAAACTTTTGATTATGATCTAAATAAAAATGGTCTCTATGAAACTAAAACCTACCGTTACTTGTGCTTCACAGGCTGACATATGCCATGCATATCAGATACTGCGAAAAGGCGGTATAAAAGACGAAAACATCATTGTGTTTATGTATGATGATATCGCGTTTAGTCCAGACAATCCTAGACCTGGAGTTATCATTAATAAACCCAACGGTGACGATGTTTACAAAGGAGTTCTTAAGGTTCTTTATCTTAATTACTTCTTTTGTGTATTTTTTTAATATATTTTTAGTTTTACATATGAATCTGTAATGTGTTTTGTCTTTTTGGTTGGATAGGATTACACTAGAGATGCTGTTAATGTGAAGAACTTCTTCAATGTTTTACTCGGAAACAAAAGTGGAATCACAGGAGGAAGTGGCAGAGTTTTGCAAAGTGGTCCTAATGATAATATCTTCATCTATTATGCTGACCATGGAGCTCCTGGATTACTATGTAATTTTTAATTTCATTTATTACCAATCAAATCCATATCTATAATGAATTATGATGTTTCTCGCGATACTAATTAAATCCGCGGTTTCTTGTTTCTCAGCGATGCCTAATGAAGAACTCCTTGCAAAAGATTTCATTGAAGTCTTGGAGAAAATGCATCACCAAAAAAGCTACAAGAAGATGGTATACTAATGAATAATCTCTGGATTGATATATGTGTGTTTTGTGTTCTTGAATCTTTGAGGTGTTTTTTGTGATATTAGGTGATCTATGTTGAAGCATGTGAAGCTGGAAGTATGTTTGAAGGGATTTTAAAGAAGAATCTCAACATTTTTGCAGTGACTGCTTCTAATGCGAAAGAGAGCAGCTATGGAACTTACTGTCCTTCGACATATCCTCCTCCTCCTGATGAGTATGATACTTGTCTGGGCGATGTGTTTAGCATATCTTGGCTTGAGGACAGGTACTGCCAAAAAAGATTCAATCTTTATGGACTATTTTGAATGGGTTTTGATTGTTCTTCGAAATGTTCTATGTTTTGTTGGGGACAGTGATCTTCATGACATGACCAAAGAGACTTTGAAGCAGCAATACAACGTTGTAAGGAGAAGAACAGGAGCTGATCAGAAAGAAGAGAGTTCTCATGTATGCCATTTCGGAACAGAGGAGATTCTTAAAGATTATCTTGTCTCTTACATTGGAACTAATCCTGAAAACGAAAACTTCACTTTTGCTGGACTCACTTCTTCTCCATTCTCTAACTCAAACTTGGTCAATCCGCGCGATATTCCTCTGTTATATCTCCAGAGAAAGGTGAGTTTTCTTTTTTTTTTTTCGGGTTTTCGATCTTTTAAAAGAAAGTGTTTTCGGTTTTTTATAAATGTTTATTCATCTCTCAGATTCAAAAAGCTCCAATGGAGTCACCTGAAAGACAAGAAGCTCAGAAGAAATTGTTTGAGAAAATGAATCATAGGAAACAAATCGATCAGAGCATTATAGAGATTCTTCGACTTTCGGTTAAACAAACCAATGTCGTAAATCTCTTAACTTCCACAAGAACAAGTGGACAACCTCTTGTAGACGATTGGGATTGCTTCAAGACTCTGGTAACAAAATCTTGTTACTTGTGTTCTACGTAACAACCATTGAAGTAAATGTTAAACCAGTATATATCGAATGAAAATCGCAGGTTAACAGCTTCAAGAATCACTGCGGAGCAACGATGGATTACGGATTGAAGTATACAGGAGCACTTGCCAATGTCTGCAATATGGGAGTGGATGTGAAGCAAACTGTTTCAACCATTGAACAAGCTTGCTCTATCAAAGCATAAAGAACTCAAATCTATGCAAAATAATGTATTCGACTTAAGAAAATATATGCAATAACATTTTGATGTAGAGATGGTTTGATTCCTATTTTTACATCAATAAAAAGCTTTTTTAATCAATGATAATGCGAAAGTCTTGGTCTTAACTTGTGTGAATTGGATTCACCAAACAATAACCTTGTACCAACTGTACGGTACGGACCGACTCTGTACATGAGTTGGTTCCAATAATAGTCTTCTTCCATAACGTGTTAACCAAGAAAAGAAAAGACATAAAAAGGCAGATACAGATCATTTTT